AACCCTGAGCCGGTGAGATTTGAACCGCTGAACTGCTGATCTAGCAGTAGCCTGCAGTGCTGCATTTAACCACTGCGCCACCTTGGCTCTAAGAAGTCAGTGCAGCTCGCATAACAGAGGTATTAAAAAGGTAAAACAAAGGGGTACCTATCACAGTGTGCGCTGCATTCTGGACATGCTGAAGTTTCAGAGTGGTCTTCAGGGCACACCCATGTAAAGCACATTGCAGCAATCCAAGGTGGTGACTAAGGCAGGGGACCATAAGCAAGACTACCTGTCCAGGAAGGGTCGCAAATGTCACATTAGATGAATCTGCTGCTAAGAAAAACACATAGATATATCCAGGAAGTAAACAGAAGACATTATTATTAGACTTTACATGATCAGCTAATTTTTTTCTTAAAATTTCTAGACCTGTTCCTCCCAAGGGCTGGGGGAAAGGTGCTATTCTACAGTAATACACAGTCTCGAGAGATTCTAGAAATCTGGAAGCCAATTTTCTATTGCTGCCCTGATCATTCCGCTGAAGATAGAAATGTCCCAGGTAATTGTCACAATTGTTCCTAAGGAGCCTTTCCTCCTTTTCAGAACCCTTGTAGTTCCTTAGTGACAGCTGAGAATAAAAAAAAGATATAAGTAAGATGACAGATGAAGTACAGTAGTAAAAAAAAAATCAAATCTGTCAAGAGTCTACTTTGTGTCAACAAGAGTGGTAAAGGTATTTTTTCCACTTCTGCTGCAACTTCATAATGTTGTCTTGTATAATTTTTCAGGTACGGAGAGGTCTATTGGAATCTGGCTTAAAAGGTTTGTAGACTGTGCTATCACAGAACTGCTAGACCATTTGAAGGTAAAGTGACTCAGGTCCATCACAATTTATAGTTCATCTTTAGCATAATTCAATGTCCAAAGACAATGTAATGTCCAGACAAGACACCCGAAACTTAATCTTAAGTTAATTTATGCAAGATATGAATATAGTTAAACAAACTGGAAAGAGTAACTAGAGTACAATCAATGCTGGCTTTCTAATTTTTTCCCTACTGGTTCGGTAGGCATGGCTGGGTGGTGGTGTCATGTGACTGAGTGGGTATGCGCAACTCGATGTCACTCATGGCAAGGTGGGATGGCACCACCCCACCAAAACACACCCACCAAAACCACGCCCACAGAACCCACAGAAAAGTTCAGCCAAGTCTTCTAGCATTCAACCTGGGTGTTCTTGCCTGTGTGTATGAACCCGAGAAGGAGAAGAGAGGCAGCCATGCTGAATCCTGCGGCAGAGAGAAGCCAAATATTTCTACCTCTAACCTTGGAAGGCAGCTCCTGTTGCTGCCTGTCGCTTTATGGTCCTCGCCTCCCCCAGCATCAAAGTACCTTAAAGACTGAGGCTGGTGGCTGTCTTCCAAGCAGCTCTACTGTGACGCTATCCCTCCGGCGCAGCAGGCTGTTCTCCTGGCTGGGTCCAGCGGCTGGCCACGAGCGGCACCAGCAGGCAGTGGGGTGCGGGTGTGCAGCCTGCGTAAACAGGACGGTAATGGCAGTGACAGTCACAGGACAAGTCCCATGACTGTTGCCATTGTCCTGTTCTTTGTGGCGGCCACTGGACCTGGCCAAGAAAACAGCCTGCTGTGCTGGAGGGACGGTGTCGCAGCAGAGTTGCTCAGAAGACGACTGGTGGCTGGAGGCTTCTCTTCAAAAGTGGCTGAGCCTCGCTGGGTCCTCCCCCAACAAGGCCACCGGAACGGAAGGTACGTGAACGAGGTGGAGGGCGAAAAAGTGGCAGCTCTGGGACAAGGCCGGAACCAGGGAATGGTGTGTTCCCTGACCCGGTCGAGATAGGCAGCAGCTAGGCTGGGGCCCCAGCCCCTGATCCAAGGCAAAGAACGAGCAGGCAGCATGCTTACTTATTCTTTGGTGAGCTGAGCAGAGCAGGTGAGGTGTGGAGGGAACTGCTGATGCGTGTAGCT